TTTTTTTTTTTAAATTTTTTTTTCAACGTTTATTTATTTTTAGGACAGAGAGAGACAGAGCATGAACGGGGGAGGGGCAGAGAGAGAGGGAGACACAGAATCCGAAACAGGCTCCAGGCTCTGAGCCATCAGCCCAGAGCCTGACGCGGGGCTCGAACTCACGGACCGCGAGATCGTGACCTGGCTGAAGTCGGACGCCCAACCGACTGCGCCACCCAGGCGCCCCTTGATGATTCTTTTTAAAATAGCTCAAAATTAGAATTACTAAGAAAATAAAATCACTGTGTCTTGTTTTCTAATTAAGTGTTAAGACGATACAGATATTGGTGATTAGCATTTACTTAAAGAAGAGAAGTTGGAGAGTTCTTCTGCTTAAATATAAAGACTCATTTAAAAAAAATTTAATGTTTATTATTTATTTTTGAGAGAGGGAGAGAGACAGAGTGTGAGTGGGGGGGAGAGGCAGAGAGAGAGGGAGACACAGAATCCGAAGCAGGCTCCAGGCTCTGAGCTGTCAGCACAGAGCCTGACATGGGGCTCGAACCCACGAACCACGAATGGGTTGGATGCTTAACCGACTGAGCCACCCAAGCGCCCAAAGACTCATTTTTTTTTTAAAAACATGGCAGCGGGCTGCGGGTAGGAATGGGAAAGCATAAATTTTATTATGTTAAAACACATCTTGGGGCGCCTGGGTGGCTCAGTCAGTTAAGCGTCCGACTTCGTCTTCAGGTTATGATCTCATACCTCGTGAATATGAGCCCCATGTTGGGTCCCATGCTGACAGCTCAGAACCTGGAGCCTGCTATGGATTCTGTGTCTCCCTCTCTCTCTGCACCTCCCCCACTTGCACTCTGTCCCTCCCGAAAATAAACATTTAACAAAGAACACATGTTAAGTGCCAATCATCTCCCTTGGGTGATTTATATGTTAATTTAACATCTAGTTTAATATCAATCCATTTTTAAGTAAACAATTGGCTTCCTTTAAGATAACTGTGAACATTTTCTATATTTCATATCACCTCGACTATTGAAAAGCACCTTCTGAAAAAGAAAAGAGAAAAACACCATCTTAGATCCTGACCCGTATGAGGTGCAGATTTGATGAGAGACTTTGGCTAGCACTATCGGAAGGCTCTCCGTTTGGAAGAAACCTGAAAACTTTGTTAGTTGTCTGACAGATGGCAGCTAGCCGTCATTCATGTAAATGAGGTGGCTGCGTAAATAAAATTCACAGATAAATCCCCAGACTTCTTTCCGTCACCTGAACTTTTCTGGGGCTGCCAGCACAAAGTAAAATGTACCAGTGCCTACTGCCGTTTCTAGAACAAAGCGAGGTACAAGAGTAAAGTGCCAAACTCTGCTTTGCCTGCTATCCTCCGCGAGCCTCTGAAGAGGGGGCCGTGCGGGGCAGGGTCATGTAATCACTGAATAAATGGCCACACGTCTAGAAGGGGAAAGGGCAGAGTGATTGATCCACAGGCTAATTAATGTGATTGAGCACATTCCGGCAGGCAAAATTGAGAAACAACAGCCCCATAGTACTACCCACGCCGAGGCCAATAGAAATAAATGTCTCTTGGGTTCGAAATAATCAATCTTTTGTCCTGAAATGCCTCATCTTCTTTGATCCTTAGCAAGAGCTGGCAGTCGATGAGTACCTGCTGTGTCAGATTTCTCTTTCTCTTCTGTGTCCCAGACAGTATAACAAATTGCGAAACCTCCTGAGGGATGCCCGGCATGATTGCATTCTCTTTGCTAACGAATTCCAACAGTTCTGCTACCTCCCTCGGGAGAGAGGAGAATCCATGGAAAAGTGGCAGACCAGGTATGGCACCCCCCCAATGGCTGTGAATGGTCAGGACTGTCTTTAATTTCTTTATCTGGGAGTTGACCTAAATAGCGTGCTAGAATAAACCAGTAGTTATTCTGGAACTGTGATTAATACTGAAATGCTTAACGTGCCACTGTTGTAGATACGTCGTTCGAATACATACATATTTTAGAAATTGTCATTAGGGAGCTGTAGATACTCAGAGTGTGTTTGCCCCAGATCTCAGCAGCTGGTAGGAACCTTCCAGGGATCCAGAAGTCATAACTTGAATGTGGGGGTGTGGGAGGGGGAGGGATCTACTTTTAAGCTAAGATTATCCAATTTTCCTGGTAGAAGTTGCTCTCCCATTCCAACCGGTCTTATTAAACTGGAACTGGTAGGTTAACTCTGGTCAGGCTGTTTTAGCCGTTTAGATCCACCTAAAAGCAGAGCCTGAAGCAAGGGGTTGGGTGTGGGTGGTTGATGCGGGAGGCAGTTCCCTGAAACAGCAGTGAGGAAGTGCAGGGAGTGAGACAGAAGGGAAGGAGGGAGAGCAGTTAAGGATGCATTACTGCTGTGGGAAACTGAGGCTCAGTCCTACTGGGAGCCTCTGAGAAGCCGTGTAGTATTTGCGTCAGAAGTCATCTGGAAGAGCGGAGGCCAGGGTGTCGTATAAAGGAGACTTCCGCCTTTAGCCGAGGGTCATTCTGCAGGGGTGTTAACTGCACCCAGTGGGCCTGGGGGGGTGCGGAACTGCCACCCACCTGCAGCTGAGTCAGCGCTGGGCCTTTTGCACAGGCGCTGGGCACCCACAGCCCCTGCTCTGCTCTTCTGCAGAGGGCCGAGGACCTTGTTTGTCTTATCCATACAAAACATTTCAATCGTCTTTTTCCTTGTAATTCTTTATCTGTGTAGCCACTAAGTATTTAAATTCTCTAAAGTAAAATAAACACTGATACATACTGAGTCCTTAATTATAGTCCTAAGTTCCCACAGGGCCCAGTACCAGAAAGGAAAGCCAATCTTTCTCTAGACCAGGTCACATGTGAGCAGTTAGAAGGATCTTACTTACTAACCACACAGGCTTGCACATAGGAGAGACTCAGTATATGTCCGCTGAATTTTTTTTTTTTTTTAATCTAAAACTAAAGGAACCTTAGGTAGCGTTGTGATTTCCAGAAAGGGAAACAGATGCCTACGAAACCAACTGTCCCAAGTTTACACACTTCATTGGAAACACAGTCCAGCCTTGAACACACGTCTCCAGCCCCAGGCTGTGTTTTCCAATTCCGATTCGTTTCAGGAAGATTTCCAGACATTTTGTGTTGACTCCATCGCAGACCTTATTGGATTGTGACCTTGAGCTGGACGCAGCCTGGTTTTTCTCTTAGCCAGACTTGTCTCTCCAGCTTTGAAACCTCACGTAGCCTCGCTTGTCATCCGTGTGGTGCTATGGTAATGGCTTTCCAGCCAAAAGGTATTAAAAGACGGCAGAGCCTTGTGGTTTCTAGGCCATATCAAGAAATGAAAGAGGTTGCCGTGGTGGTTGGATGTCTTAGGGAAGAAGAGGCTTGTCGGGTGCTCTCTGATTCGTGTTTTATCCCCCAGACTGCCCAACCCAGGGCATATTTATGACCAGTGTTCGGGAAATAACTTGTTGAATGAATGGGTGGTCGTCCTCATAAACCGAAGGATAGCAGATCAAAAGGCCGGTGTGACGCTTTGGACTGTAGCTTGTGTTTGTCTGCCTTGGGAGGGCTCATGTGCCCTTGCTTTTCTAGGAGCATATACAATGCAGCCGTTTGGTATTATCACCACTGCCAGGATAGGATGCCAATCGTTATGGTGACAGAAGACGAAGAGGCTATTCAGCAGTATGGAAGCGAAACCGAAGGAGTGTTTGTGATTTCTTTCAAGGTACCTGCATCTGGTGTGTCCATAAGTGTGTCTGTGTGTGTTCATTTCTTCAGTGGTGCCCACAATGCTCTCGATCCATGTGGCGAGGCAGAAGAGGGAAAACAAAGAGTGAAGGAAGACTCCAGCCAACGAGTTCCATGTCTGTGTCTCTCCCCAGCCATGGAATCTTGGCTTTGGCAAATTTGGGCAACCCCCCTGTGACTGTAAGACCCGTAGCATCTGAGAGTTCAGCCCAGGAGGCCCCTGTTGACAGTAAACCCGTTGCACAGTTACAGCAATAACAATAGTGGTGATGATGATGGCAAGAATAGGTTGGATGTTATAAAATTGCCAATACTATTATTTTTGACCTCCAAAATGGCAGTTTTATATGGTCCCACCTAATAGTAATAGCCAACATTTATCTATGTCAGGCAGTATTCTAAGTGGATTGTTCCATTGAATTCTTACCCCCATGAGGTAGGTGCCATTGTCCACGTTTTGCAGGTGAGGAAACTAAAGCCCAGAAAGACTAAGTAACTCACCCAAGGTCACACAGGTAGAAAGTGGAGGAACCCCCGGCACTCTGACTCCAAAGCTCTTAACCACCGTGCTCGGCTGCCCCCCACATTGTTTTTCTGCATGCACACACGACACAGTTTTAATCTTTTTTGGTTTTTAAGTTTACTTATTTATTTTGAGAGAGAGAGTACACGTCGGGGAGGGCCAGAGAGAGACAGCAAGAGAGAATCCCGAGCAGGCTCCCTGCTGTCAGCACAGAGCCCGTTACAGGGCTCGAACCCACGAACCGCGAGATCGTGACCTGAGCCAAAACCGAGAGTCAGACACTTAACCGACTGAGCCACCCAGGCGCCCCCTACGCACACCGCGCAGTTTTAAGGGCCAGTCTTGTTTTGGCACTGTTCCTCACTCTTCCCCACTTGTGAATATACATGGGGGTTAGCAGGGACACAGGAAGGGGCGAGCTGCGCTATCATTTATGTGAAGGCTGTCCCATCGGCTGAGTGTACAGATCACAGGTGGGAGCAGTGTTATTGGTGGCCGTTTTGGGGGGCTGTGTTGGCAACCTAGTTCTCCTATTTCTGGGGTACCCCTTGGGGAAAGTGGGATGGCTGTTGATCTCTCAACAGATTACTGGGCTCTTCTGTCTGCCCAGCTGGCCAATCAAGTGCCAGTGGTTAATATCGGGTTTTGATTCAGAACCTCAAATGAGGCCCTCCGTTGCCCCTGTCAGTTTACGGAAAGTCAAGTTGGATTTTGAATTGTAGATTCTATAAGAGTTCCCAGGTGCACGTACTGCTAAAGATTTGCCAATAGAATTTTCTTGGCCCTGCTATAAAAAAGTGTGCCGGCGTGCCAGAGAGTTCCGGGGGCGCTGGATATTAATGGCGGTGTCACTTGTTTTTTCTGTTGCAATACATCATGTCTTGTTCTCGCAGAGGACAGTTGCCTAAAATTACATTTTTCTACTTTTTGTTCAAATTACTTTTCTTCACAGTCCGGTACTGTGGTACCGTTTATTGTGTATAGTGTCTCCTAAGCAAACTGTGTGACCGAGGGCTTCATAGAGGCGAATGATAGATAGCAGGAAAAAAAAAGAGATACTGTGGAGTTCAGACGAGAAGGCCAGAAGTTTCTGTGGGGACATGAAGTTAGCTGGGAAAAGCGAAGACAGTAAATCCTCATGAAGAGGCGGTTCACAGTGGCAGGAACTGGGTGGTGAGAAGCTGTAAGTGACCAAGTGACCATAGAATTGGGGTACTGACGTTAGCACAGACAGAACTTCTCGAAGGACTGGGGAAGGAAAGGAGGTGATTCAAACAGGACCCTGAGGTCCATGGGAGAAATATTAGCCTTGACAATAAATATAATGTATTTTCTTTTTTTTTTTTTTTTTGATTTTTAAATGTTTATTTTTGAGAGAGACAGAGACAGAGCACGAGTGGGGGAGGGGCAGAGAGAGAGAAAGAGAGAGAGGGAGACAGACAGACTCTGAAGCAGGCTCCAGGCTCCGAGCCGTCAGCACAGAGCCCAGTGCGGGGCTTGAACTCACGAACCGTGAGGTATGACCTGAGGCAAAGTCAGACACTCACCCGACTGAGCCACCCAGGCGCCCCTGCATTTTCTTTTTTATGTGAGAAAAGCGAATGTGCTAGACTCTACCTTAGACTTAAAGTTGAGTTAAAAACATGTAAATTTGGTTTTATTTAGTGAGAGCCAACCATTCAAGGGAGTGTGCTTTCGACGTAGCACAGCCAGCATCAACACACCCTCCTCTTGCGGGTGGTGTCCTCTCTGATAGACTTACACCAAGAGGTGCGGTAACACTCAGTCTACGTGGGGGGGAGGGACCCTGACCACTTGTGTCAAAGTGAAGTCTCGTACTGAGTCATCACACTAATAGCAACGTCTCTGTGAAGCGTTACAACATCTCTGGATGGTCACCAAGGAAGACTCCATCGTCTGGGAGCTCATGACGGGGAAGCCCCAGAAGAATAGAAACGTCTCGGCTTTGCCCCCTCTGCTCACTTGGCGTAGCCAGTGGGTTGGGGGAAAAGGGGACATTTCCGTATGCGCTTTACGCCTTGCCATTTTTACCTGCTTGTTTAAGTTTCTTATAAGTTTCAAATGTTTCAGAATGGGAAAAAGAAAAAAGAAGACAAGAATGCACACATGAGAGTTTTTTCTCTGCATTTACTGCAGGCCATTGTCTGTGGCAATGAGATACACGTAAAGATAGGCAGAAGGCCACGCGTGTGTGTGTGTGTTTGCGTGTGTGTGTGTGTACACGCGCACAGAGAGAGGAGGAGATTCGAAAGTGCAAAGCAAGCATTCCATGGTAGGAAGGGCCTCCCTAGGGTTCGTTTGGCAAGGCTTCACGGATTAGTGAGATGGTAGAAAACTAGCCCGTAACGTGAGGCTTGGGAAGGTAATGTTCATTCACCACTTCAAAACCACACGCCAGCGGTTCCTGCCCGGGACTGCTTGTAATACTACTGGAAGGGAGAACCATTACCTTCTGACCACGTTTCTCTTTTGCCTTTATTGAACGCAGAATTACCTGGACAATTTCTGGCCTGATTTAAAGGCCGCCCGCGAGCTTTGTGACTCCATCCTTCAGTCTCGACGGGAAAGAGAGAATGAGAGTCAGGAGAGCCACGGGAAGGAGTACGCAGAACATCTTCCCCTGGAAGTGTTGGAAGCCGGCATTAAATCGGGACGCTACATCCAGGTGAGGGTGGTCATGCGACGTCGGCGTCGGGACGGGCCAGTCTGTTTTCTTCTCGCCTTTACTGGCCTGCCACAGGCCTTTAATTTCAAAGGCTGTAAATAAAATGGGCATGAGTAAGCCAGGGCTGTCATTGTTGAAGATGGTTTCAGAGTCGTTCTTCCTGGGGACACCTTGCCATCTGGTTTGGTGCTACTCTGTAATCTTCTTAATTGGGTTACGTATTGAGCATCACACAAGTAGCCTTATAAGTGCCTCCAGTCTCTGGGAAAGAGCACATATTTTGCAATCAAGGTCTGGAAATTGGGCAAAATGGTGAAATTGGTGAAATTTGGCTTCTTCGCCCCTTTGCAATATTCCTGCCTCTTTCAAGGGCCCTTTTGTGGTCCCCCAGGACCCAGACCCCAGAAGCTGTTAAGCTGTCTTGAGAAGGAATCAGATAAAATTATTCAGATTTCAACAGTTTTACGTGTGTGTGTGTGTGTGTGTGTGTGTGCGGTGTTATCACATTGGTCAATTTGTGTATCTGCCACCACTATCAAGATACAAAATTGTTCCGTCATGAATTTTACATTTTTAACAAGCAGCTCAGTTTTTATGCAGGCCGAAGTTTGAGAATGCCATGCTGAAGTCCCGCCCTAAAGTTGTGGGTTTCTTTCTTTTTTTTTTTTTTT